CACACAAACCACTGACCATCCTCCCTGCACACAAACCACTGACCATCCTCCCTACACACAAACCACTGACCATCCTCCCTACACACAAACCGCTAACCATCCTCCCTACACACAAACTACTAACCATCCATGTGCAACAGTCCCAACCCAACTCCGCCACGTTCTCATCATAGAGTTCGAATACACCCGCGTGTACCTCAACTCGCTCGCACTCCAAGCCGTCGTCGAGCGCTGCACACACAACACCCCCCTCCAATCACACGCCAATCTCTCCACAGCCCCAAACGGCACAGGCACAGCGCCCGCCCCCACCGACGGCGGTGCGATCCCCTTCAGCACGCTAACAAAATGGTACGCAAACGACCGGCACTACATCAACGAAGTCATCGACGCCTCGCGCAACGTGCTCAAAGTCGTCGTTGACGGCCTCTACCCGGGCGACTACCTGCGCCACGCGCCCGTGCGCACATTCTTCCGCATCGTCAGCGTCGCCATCATCCTGCTGAAAACCTTTGCGCTCGGCGCGACAGAAGAAGACGTCGCCGTCAGCCTGGCGCTGCTGTCCGGCGCCGTCGACGCCCTGCGCACCAGCATCGTCGACGACGTGCACGTCGGCAACCGCTTCGCCGACCTCGTCGAGACGCTCACGCACCGCATACGTAGCCGCTTCGTGCGCCTCGCCGCAAATGGATCGACGGGCCTCAGTCGTGCTGGATCTCGATCGCCCATCTCCGCGCCCCTGATGCCGCCGCCCGCGCCCCTGATGCCGCTGGCAGGGAGCTACATGGGCTCCAACTCGACCGTGTTCCCCGGCCACGGGACGGGCCACGGGACGGGCACAAGCGTGCCCGGCTCGCCCAGTCTCGGGCTTACCGCAAGCGGCCGCGCAACGCCCATCTCCCAATCGCTGTGGGGCATCAGCGCCGAGCTGTACGACCCCAACTCAAACAGCATCAGCATCATGCCCCCGCCAGGCTTCAGTGCGTTTCCGCACCCGAACACCCCCGGCGGCAGCGACGGCAATGCGGGCACGGCGAACACTCAGGACGGAGGCTCGTGGTCCCAGTGGGCGAATAGCGGTGCGGGCTGGGGCGGTGCGAACAACGACCAGGACTGGCTGGCGCTGCCACTCGATCCGCTGCTTGATCAGTGGGGTGCGGAGATCAATCAGACGGCCATGGGACCGGATGTTGGGGGCATGGACATGCTCGACATCTTGCTGAACATGGGAGGGCCGCCTGGAAGCACGTCGTAGGCTTACGAAAGCGCAGAGGCGTCAGGGGGAGCGCGAGTGGACTCTCTCAGCTGCATGTTTTACTGTCTCAACATTCACCTGGAATCTTGTGATACCCCACCAGCTTCTGCTGTGTCACCTCATCATTATCTTTTTCCTATCCGCACTGCATAACGAGAGAAGGGTGGGAGCTTGGAAATGTATCAAGTACTCCTCGGTAATGGAGAATCAAGCAAACAACAGAACAAACGATGACCAACAGAAGCAGAAACCAAGAGCGCATCATCACCTCCTGATCGCCCAGACACCCCACAGGAGGTCGTTCAACAGCCAGTGCCTACGTCTCATACGAGTCTTGCACAGCAATCGCGCTCATCAGCGCTGGAGTCAGCAGACTCAACTGTGACTTCTGTTGCACTTGAACACAAGACAGCCGAATTTCGATCGCGCTAGTCGTCCCTGGTGGATACGCGCACTTGGCCAGAACAACTTGTCGCAAGAGTGCACTGTGACAGGAAGGTGGGTGTCGCTTGATCGACACCCGCGTGCGGAGATCACTCCCGGAGATGGCGGGGTGTTGCTTGCTACTGCAAATACTTAGTCAGTATCTGCAGACGGTGCACCATCGACGTGAAAGACTCACTCGCACATGCGTGCTGTTGTCCCAGCACGCCCAGTAGGTTGGGTCATTCCAGCTCAAGGCAACGTAATGGAATCTACCTTCGACCTGATGGTCATGCTCCCTCCTCCAGTGGATGCCGTCGTGTGTATCTGTCAAATTTTTTTCGACGGCTGCGCGGGAAAAAGTGCATTTCACCTATAGATCAATTCTTCATCTTCATCCATGGCAACCCTACGCATCGTCCTGGAACGTCGATTAATCCGTGGGCGCTGGGGAAGGTCACGTTACTGGAGCTGAACGGTCGAGCTATTGGCGTTGATGATTGGCCCAAGAGAGAATTGGTTGACGACGTATTGCTGACCGCAGGATTGCTTCGGTTCGACATTGAAAGCGTATAAGTCGAACGTCGCGACACATGTTGCAGTCACACCAGGACATGTATTGCAGTCACAACCAGTGTCTGGGACTGCGAATGTACTTCACGGCCATTGTTGACTGCCGATTTATATTTGTTGTTGCTCAACAAGTCACCCGAGAGGATGATCCCCGGGTCTGCCTTCTCACCTTGCAAACGTCGTTCTGCGCGATTGCTTCTGCTCAACCATGCACGCTCAATGGACAAATCTGAAGTCCATTCTCTTCATACCTTCGTCCTTGGTACTGACAATGTAGTCGTTCTGCTCTTCCTTGGTCATCGCGTTCCACTGCCTGTCCCTAACCTTGTTGCGCCAGATATAGAACGCTTTGACGAAGAAAAATAAGAAGATGTTGATGCTGCAGATACCGAGTAGAATCTTGTTTCCACGACGGTATAAAGGCTGGTCGTCGTTTCGGTAGATGTTTGATGCAATGATGTTTCCGGCCTGCACGAACATGTTGTAGAATGCTGCTGAGACGGCACGCGTTCGAACGGCATTGGAATTTGTAGCGTTCCATCCGACCAGAATGGCGTGGCAGTAAGGGTATGAAAGCAGTCCGCTGAGAAGCGCGTAGCGTACCCAAGGATTCGCACTGGCGGGCAAGGTGACGAGAGCAACGAGCCAAGGAAAGATCCAGAAGTTGCTCAGACTTGACACGATGGCCCTTTCTTTGAGCTTCTTCGATATCCATGTGACAATGAGCAGCTGCACTGCAAAGAGGAACTGCGATGGTATCAACAGCATGTTGGCCTGGAAAGTGCTGAAACCTAATTGACGCAAGATGTACGACAGGTAGGTGTTTGGAGGCGCTGGCGGGATATAGGCCATAAGGCCGATCAGGTATAATGGCCACTGCTCCCAGTCTGTAATGGTCTTCCACAAGAGCCTTAGACTCACACCGGTTCTGTTGTTCATGTCTCCCTTGGATGGGTCGTCGCGCAGAATGCGGTTGACCATGATAAATTCTTCGTGTTGGGTGAACCATCCGTTCTTACCGCGGAACCATGATGCGGTCTGAGTCGCTCCAGCCGGCATTAGTACGAATGAGAAGATGCCAATGAAAAACGTGAGGAGACCCTCGATCAAGAATCTGGAGACGGTCAGCTTATCACTGTGTTGCGAGCGTCGGGTACGTACAGATACTGCCAACCACCCCAGCCGTGAAGGCCTCGCATCTGCAGAATACCAGCAGCCATAAGTGATCCGAAAATATTGCAGAAGCTTAGTGCCGTCCAGAACCACGCTAGTCGCGTCGGGAGTTCATTCGACTTAAAGAAGTACGTGAGCCACAGAACGATATCGCTTTTCACACCGTCAGTTACTTTCTAATATAAGAATTTAGTACAACTCACGGGATGAATCCCCCCATCAGTAAGCCTAAAAGTGCGCGGATGGCGAAGTACTGCGATTTGCTGGTGAGAGCACATTGAGACGCGCTGACAATTGACCATGCACAGATAATGGTAGGAATCCATCTACGATATCATCATTAGCGTACTGCACTCAGCTTCCATAGTCTCCCTCTACGGCAGAGCTTACCGGTCAGCACCAAGCTTCTTACTGATCAGCCCGCTGGGTAGCTCGGCAAAGAGGAACATTGCAAGGAAGATCTAGGTCGCAATCAGCAGAGACTGGGTTCCAAATCGGGGGTAACGCACGGTTTGACCATAATTGAAGTCATTGGTGTTCATGCCTGAATTCTGTTAACTGCAGCTGTGGAGGCGACTAGTCTGCTTACCGAGATCTTTCAGCATGTTGTCGGAAATTGCTCGATTAATGTTCTTGCGGTTCAAGTCCAGCGAAACGAACATCATCCATGCCCACAACGTGATCCTGAAGTCGAGCTACCCTCATTGTCAATATTGGACCTCTTCATGTCAATGTTGTGCTCACCTTGCGAACAAGCTTACGCTCCTCTTTTGCCGTCCATGTGTAGTTCGGATCGAAGCGATGTCGTCCCTCATATTCAGCCTTGTCGTAGACTTCCCGCCAGTACTGCGCCGTCACACGATCGCTAAACGGATGATCTTCATACGATCCGTACGACGGTCGCTCCTGCTTCGAGAGCTGAGAGGAGCCCGAGTCGGCGCTCTGGAAAACGGCTACCTGCTTTCGGTCGGCTGAGATTACAGCCATAGTCATCACAAGACCGGAATGGAGCTGTTTCTGAGTAACTTTGCCAATAGCAATGCGAGCGTGCCAGATAATTGGGGTGCAGCCTTAAAGCCCTTATAATCCACTGAAGATGCTTTTGATGATTTATTCAGCCAAGAATGGTGCAACAGTGCCCTTGACTGACAACATTGCGTGAAGACATGAGGTGTGCTGCCAAGCCAGCCTCGGATGCCATGCTTTTGACCTCACTTGCACTCGATAAGAAGCTGTACAAATATGATTGGATGGGGGGTGAGGCGCGGTCAACAGAATCACCAAGAGAAAGGCGTAAAAACCTAGTAATGCAGCGGAAGATCCAGGGGTGAACCAGCAATACGCTTGACTGCATGTCAATCATGTAGTAGCGGCACAATGGTACGCAATACTCTCGTGGGGAGGCGCCCCGTGACCAGTTCCCTGGAGCCGTACCCGATCCCACACCGGCATCAAAGTCTTTTTCAAGGCAGTCAGGGACGACCTCGACGGCTACAGTAACCGTTGCAACGGGTTCATTGATCGTTGGAGCGCGCAGGTCCAGCGCAAACGTATGGTAAGTTTTTCTCTTGATCGATGGCTGGTTTCTACCAGCTTGAGGAGCCTGTATGAGATATTCGATGAGGTCATGATCGCAAAGTGCCAGCGATAAGGAATATGCCACCATGCAGGCACGTCAATCGCTTGAGAATTGCGTCAGACATCGCGGCTTGGCTTTCTGAAATCAAGACAGAGCTACAAAATCGCACTTCTAGCTTTCCGAACGTAGCGAATTAGCTGAATGGCATGTTTTGGGCTTCCAAAAACGTGCCATCGTGGCGTTGACGAATGTCGTGTAGATTGTACAGATGTCGTCAACGAGAACCAATCAAGATCAGGAAAATGCGGATAAACTCATGTGAACAATTCGGTGGCTCCACATGGATGAAAATGTGGAAAGATGGCAGATGTGAATACGTGATGCTTCTCGAGAACCGAATACGTAGAGGGGAGACGAGGATGGTACAATTGTTCGTCGTGGGATTGTGCACGGTGGCATTATTGACGTGCGCTAGCTTCGCTTTCTCTTCACCATCAACATTCACAAAAGCGTTTCGCAGATTTTGTGTACGATGACATCTACTTACCAAATTTGCAATGTACGACTACTTATCCATCATTGAGACCGAGATCCTCGCGACGAGACTTGCTGTTCGGGTCAAGATACGGCTTTTCACCCAAGCTCACGGCTCGCTGACCGGTCCTCGGCCCCTGTCCCTTATAGTCGAAAGTCGCAGTATGGTATACGCTTCTGTTATCCCAAATAGCAAGATCATTCTCGTTCTGCCACCTCTGGCGTATCTGTAGGTCGTGGTTTTCAACAATCAACTGAACAAACCAGTCCAGTGCGTGCTGGCTTTCTTCCTTTGTTAAGCCATTTATCTGCTGGACGTGGTGGCCAACAGCGAGGATGGACTTCCAGCCTGTCACGGGATTCGTTCGGATCACTGGGTGCTCAGCGATCAACTCGGTTCCCACATTCTCAGGTGCACCTCGAGGCCTGTCGTATACTTCGAACCCATTCTCTTTCGCAGCGAGATTGAAACCTGGCTGGGCATATGTGGCAGTGAGACCCTCAAAGAACTTCTGGTAAGGAGGTGAGAGGCGGTCATACAGCTCGTACCCCGAGGCCCAAAGAGTGTCTGCAATCTCCATCAGCTAGCGATTACAGAGACGATTGGACTTGACTTACCTCCACCTGTCTTCGGCAGCTCAGTCAATCTCAAGAGTGCGTAGTCACTAGGAATCTTCTCGAAGGTAATGTCGCTGTGCCAGCCGCCCTTCGCGCTCTGCTTGCGATCGGCAAAATTCAGGAACTTGTTCTTGTAAATTTCCTTTGCCTGCTCGGAGCTGATGACACTGATCTCGTTATCGCCGCCACCAAGACGTCGACCGGCATTGATAACAGGGTGAATATGTAGCTTCGATGTCTCGGGCTTACCGGACAGCTCACCCAAGCGCTGCACAAGCTGCTTTTGGAGATCGTTGTTGATGTCATCCTGCTTACGGAAGAAGACTACACCACGCTGCGAAACTATTTGCAAGTCAGCATTCCAGTCCCTGAAGACACAGAGCGCCAACGTACTGGTAATCGCAAGGTCTCGAATGAGATCATCAGAATTAGGAGCATTCAGCCAGTCCTTCAAATTGACGTCGACGAACTCTCGACCAATTACCGGGGTGACATCGAAGGACTTGTACTGATCAAGAGCGCCTGACAACTTGAGCGGTTCGCGCGGGTATTGCAACTGTGCCAGAGCATCAGCGGTCTCGCTGTTAAGAGTCAAAGTTTCTGTTGCCATGATAATCGGGATGACCTGACGTGTGCAAATGTTAGCCCACCAGAAGACGGCGTTTGATCTTTATGAACTTCATGCACAGCCTCCAGATTACCAAGACTTCGCCTAGGTAATGCCGATGGAGCAATATTGCAACATCGCAGGGTGTTGACTTAATGTGCAGGTTGGATATCAGCACCGAGCTTTGCTAGTGGCTACTATAGGTCTTATCGACACGTCGATCTGCATGTTGCCACGCGATGGATCGCAAGACGTTTCGATAGTGAACTGGTGTTGCGGGGTAGTTGGCTTCGACATGTGGGGGTATGATTACGTGCTCTTCGACATGAACGTGCATTCGTGTCTCTGTTGTGCTAAACCTAAACAAGACCACCGATGCTCTCCGCGGATCAGAATTTCTGGTGTGGCGTATATGACGAGGGATTTGCCGTTCGAGCTCTGGCGACTGGCGGGTTCACATGAGAACGTACTTACTCCTCGCCCTTAAACGAAGCCCATACCTGCAACGCTCCTTCGACGCTCTGAATGAAACCAAAGAATATCGTGAGCGCCAAGATTAGTATGGCTACCCAGAACGTGTACCATTGCACTCCATTCCGTCGATCGTGCCACCACTGAGACAGAGTTTGAGGGGTCGCCTCGTCAAATAGTTGCTTGAGCACAACTAAGCGGTCATGCCAGTACGCAAACTTCTCAATTTGGCGATCGTCGGTCTTCAGGGCACCGCAAGATATTAACTGGGAGTCGAACGAAGGCCTCAGGAGTGCTTTACGACACCATCTACGTACAGTCGGGTCAGACTGTGGAAAGAGAAGAGAAAGCGTACGTTGCGTCTCTTCTAGGAGCGCTTCAGGTAGGATAGCGCTAATTGATCAGTCACCTATCCGAATCAAATTGGCGTTCTGGGCTTACCTCTTTGTCTGTCTTTTGAGATATGACATATGATGAAAGACATGCAGTTTTGTATCGTCATCTGTCAGTCGAAGATGATCGAGTAAGTTCGAGGTGGGCAGAACCTCGATCCCAGCTATGCATTCCAGGTTCTTTGCATTGAAGATTCGTGGTAACTTGACACCTTCGTGACCTAGGGCCGGTTTCGAATCTAGGTACAATCGGACACAATCATTGAGCGAGCCTTCCTCCCATTCCAGCTGATGGTGTCCATTGAATCCGTACTCAACATTGGTGCAGTCAACCATCAGCAGCAGGGTTGCAGCAAGGTCGATCGCGCGATTTATAAGTTCGTCCTCGTTGTCGTGACTTTTTGTGAGCTTCAGACGTAGCCTTTGGCGTATATCCTCGCGGCTCTTGCGCTCTAGCACAAGCTTTGCGATGTCGAGGATGTCTTGATGAGTACGGACCAGGACATGCCGACCTCCGTCGTGCAGCGCACGCTCGCATTCCTTCACATAGAACTGCCAATATGTCTCCGCGATGACATGATGGCTTGGCTGATTTAGTGTACCACTTTGATCCCAGAAGGTGTTGGCAATGGCATCTTTCGTTACAGACCAGAGGGGATCCAGGAGCGAGTCTGAAAGCGCCATTGGATATCTGGCCAGGTGGTGGGGCTCCGGCTCTGGAGCTCCGAGGTCGTGTCGAACCCGTGAAGCGACAACGACTTGCGACAATGACGTTTCAACTCCACAGTGTTTATTATTTGCCAGTCAGTGTCAATATCAGAGCTCCCAGTGACCATATTTGCCTTCCGTCGACGGACGGCGTTGCGTTGCCGGAGTCACGAGTGGCTGTGTAGCTGAACATCAGAGCATGGGTGTTGACTGGACGAGCGTGCAGCGCTCACAGCCCTGCTGCAGCTGCACGCACATCGCTGGGGGCCTTATCAGCTCAGCACCCCAAGCGTAGCCTTCTTCCTGTGGTCACATCACTCACCTCCACCACCAGCCATGATAGTATCTGGATGACACTTCTCAATCAGGATCCACGCTTGGAATCTTGCATGTCGGCGGCGACGCCTCCCTGGACTGTGGGGACTATGAAATCGCTCAGCCGCATCAGAAGAAGCCGAGCTTCACAGGATCTCAAGAGCGGGACAGAATGCCTGCAGTCGCAGTGGCCGTGTCCCCAGACTTCCGTAGGACGGTTCATCTCAATGATCGGTGGTCAGAAGTGTTGGGAGGCGATCGGGCCTGCGCGCTCTACGTTCACCACTGCGGCCCCAAGTATCAAGAACCATCTGGATACGTACAGCGAGCCAACGACTGCTTGGGTAACATGGTCTATGTACATGATCGGACTGTCGCCGATGACGGCGATGCCCACCATCATCTTCTGTTGTGAGAGCGAGACGTATCGAAAAGCAACCAGGAACATGATACGCGACAGTGGTATATTGAACGCCTTTCCTCCGATCGCTCTGAAGCACCTTTCAAGAGCACCCGGCTACAATCAGTTGGTGCAACTCGCGTCAGGCCCAGACGAAGGTGCCGCCATCAGTAGCGGTGGGAAAGAGCACGAGGTTTCGATACACGCTGTATTCAGCAGTGAACGACAGCCTACCGTTGGAAGCTGTCTGCTCATTTGCATGAGCGACAGACACAGCACGCTGCGAAAAGCCACCAGCGGAGGGACAGTCTCTATCAACGGCTCACAATACTTGATGACCGCTGCCCATGCATTCTCTCATCCTCTACCCAATTCGTCGACATATCGAACCGAGCTCGACGAGCTCGCCTTTTCCGATAGTGAAGACGAGTGGGAGGCCAGAAGCGATACAAGCAACAGATCGACAGCTTCGCACTCGGACTTGGAGTGTACGATCAACTCATCTACCGAGCTCATGACTGACGGCGTGGTGCCACGTGGTGAACGCAACTGGCCTGACTTACACATGCCGGATGACTTTGGACTTGTCGGCCACCTCACAATATCCTCGCTCGATGGCTCGTACCCTGAGCTCGATTATGCTCTTGTCAAATTACACGAGCATGATGCATCGACATCATCCGCGACTGTTGAGCTTCCGCAACACGTCCAGCCGGAAGATCTAGAAGACGCTGCTGTCAGACCTGTGGTTGCATATACGGGGTCATCGGGCCCGGTGTTCGGCACCATCGCGTCTACGTCGAGTTTTATAAGACCGCCGAACGCAGACAGATCTCAAGAAGTATACCATGCTACCTTTGAAACACCGCTTGTCCAAGGCGACTGTGGCTCCTGGGTTTATGATCGAGAGACCCACAAGTTGTACGGCCACGTCGTTGCAGGCTCTCCTGGGATGGGGCTCGCATGCATTATCCCGGCTTATCAAGTGTTCGACGATATTGAGCTGCTCCTCCATCTTCTCGAACAGCGGTGCCAATCACAACAAGGCAAAGAGGGAATCCTGCGAGCAGACCATGAGACGGCGCTCACTGGCACATGCTATGATACCTCGGGTGAAAGTAGAACCTCAGCTGTTTCCCACGCAATCGAAGCACTATCTCTCGCAGATCACGCAGACGTAGCTGCTGATGAAAGCGTAGTCGTGCCCGGCCCAGAGCAATCCCACAAACAGCCGACGGACCACGTATCTTTTGAGAAAGCGATCGCACCACAGTTCCGAGACATGATGAAAGCCAAAGTCCTGAGCACGTTGAGAGAACGCAGAGCTGTCCCAGTTGACGACAGTCTAGCACCCCCGTATACCGGATCCTGGAAACTCCTAGTGACCCCAATACCGCCCGCACAGGGTTCGCCACTGCGTTTCAAACGCATGCTGCTCTCCCTATCCAACATGCCGTTACAGTGGGAAAACCCAGGGCTACTCGACGAGGCCCTGTGCGTAGTTCCGCTGGAGCGGTTGTACAGCGAAGCCGATGAGGAATCCTCGATTCTGGAAGCCGAGGCCGCTAGCCTAGGCGACGGGGGAAGAGCAGCTTGGGGCTACCAAGACTGCGTCGTCAGGGCGCTATTGCGCTGGTTCAAACGCTCTTTCTTCACCTGGTCCAACAACCCTCCCTGCAGCGCGTGCCAGAATGCTACAACCGCAGTGGGCATATGTGCACCCACGGACGAAGAGCAAGCCCGGAGCGCGAAGCAGGTCGAGCTCTACAAGTGCGCGAGTCCCAGCTGCGATGCATACGAGCGCTTCCCTCGCTACAGCGACCCGTTCGTCCTGCTGCAGACGCGAAGAGGGCGAAGCGGGGAGTGGGCCAATTGCTTCGGCATGCTGTGTCGAGCCCTGGGGTCTCGTGTCAGATGGGTCTGGAATGCGGAAGACCACACCTGGATCGAGACGTTCTCGGTCCATAGGAACCGCTGGGTCCATGTCGACCCTTGCGAGGAGGTTTGGGACCAGCCACAGCTCTACACCGTTGGTACGTTGGCATCATGCACCTGTGCGAATATCCGATAACGTGATGCGCAGGTTGGGTGAGGAAGTTGACATACTGCATCGCCTTCTCCACAGACGGTGCTGTGGACGTAACGCCTCGCTACGTCCGAGGAGTCAAGCATAGTTCTCCGAGAACTCGATGCACCGAGGCCGAACTGCTACACATCCTAGCCGAAATCACGATGAAGCGCCGCGAGACCATGAGCGAGCAAGACACGGCCAAGCTGAAAGATGAACACGATTGCGAATCCATGCAGTTCCGCAAGTACCTGATCGCCGGCCTCGTGCACGAGGTCTGCAATCACCTCACGCAACATGGGACCCGTGGCCGCTGTGACGTGGACGCTGAGCCCGGCAAAAGCCTCGGGGAGAGAACGAGTGGCGATCGTACGTCGTGATGCAGCCCTATCGAACTCACTTGCTGACTTTTGCTAGTTGCATGGATCCAGCGTCGAAACGAAGCGGGCTGACGTTAGTAGCAGACGACAAGTGTGAGAGTGGCTCAGTGATTATTGTCGAAGTAGCTGCGCTCCGGCCAAACGTCACAACTTCCAAGATAGCAGCGACCCAGAATTGCGTAACTCGTGACGCTCACTCCCTCAGTCTTTGTTTCTCTATCCTTACATATCAACACCCTCCTCTTAGATTCTACGAGTACCGCTGCATGACCTCGGCGACCTTCTCGCGCACACCCTGCTTGCCGTCGTACTTCTCGAGCAGACTCGCGACAGCATCGTCGGCCTTCTTCCCGCTCATCTCACGCAGAATCTCATCTTCCTTGGGCAGCCCGATCCAGGCGTGCGGGTACTCCTTGTAGTCGCCCTCGCTGATGAGCGGCAGCGTCTCGCCGTTGGCCTTGCCGGCGAAGAATTCGTGGACGTCGCTCTTCTTGACGTCGTCGAGCGTGTTGGGCTGCCAGTTTGGACGCTCTTTCTTGCGCTCGATTAGCTTCGCAGTCACGCCCTCGACGAAGTCTGGGTGCGCCATGAAGGTGGAGGCGATTTCATATTCCTTTTGGAAGGTCTGGGCGATGCTCCACTGGCGGCCGATGCGCATCTGCTCGAGGGTCACGGCGACGGAGATGGGCGAGCGGGTCTGGATGGTTTCCGAGGTCTTGGTGGCCCATGTCTTGAGGGGCTCCGAGGACGAGGCGGCGGCGGCCACGTCGTCGAGCGAGGCCAGGATGGCTTTGATGCTGGGCTGGTCGGCGTGGAAGACGCGGTCGATGGTCTTGCGCAGCTCGCCGGAGATGGCGGGCTTGTCGGCGGGCAGGCCGGTGCTGTATTCCTCAATGGTGGCGTTGACGATCTTGAAGCGGCCGTCGAGCGGCATGTAGTCAGGAAACTGCAGCTCGGCGAGACGAGACTCGAGCTGCGGCAGGGTGGACGAGTGGACGTAGTGCGTGGCGACGCCGTGGTAGAAGGCGTCGACGCCGCGCAGCTGCTCCGAGGTGAGGGCCAGGTAGGTGCCGAGGGAACCCTCCATGCGGGGCAGGAAAAAGGAGGCGCCGACGTCGGGGAAGAAGCCGATGGTGGTCTCGGGCATGGCGAAGAGGGTGTTCTCGGTGGCGATCCTGAAGGGGGCGTGGATGGACAGGCCGACGCCGCCGCCCATTGTGATGCCGTCCATGAAGGCGACATATGGCTTTGTGTAGGTGGCGATCAGGTGGTCCAGCTTGTATTCGAGGCCAAAGTAGTCGGCGCTCTTCTGCTGGCCCGCAGCGCCTGTCTTGTTCCACTGGGCCAGCGCGGCGACGTCACCTCCAGCGCAGAAGGCGCGGCCAGAGCCCTTGATGATGACGACGCCTGCCAGCTCCGACTTGGCCCACTCTTGAAGCCTGGGGATGATCTTGCGGGCCATGGAGCCATTGAGCGAGTTGAGCTTCTTGGGCCGGTTGAGCTCGATGCTGCGCACGCCATAGTTGTTGGTGAAGATGACGTCGTCCGGGTCGTCGTCGGTCTGGGGCTTGGTGAGGTCCGCGGTGGGCGTCGAGTACTGCGGCGTGTGAGCAACTGTCGTGTGCTGTCTGGCAGAACAAGTACCATCCGTGTGCCTGCCATCCAGGCGGGATTGGTGATGTGTGCGCGCAGCGGCATGATCCCGACGGTCCGTGTGCGCGAGGCCCAGCTCAGCGACGCAGGTGCTCGTCGCGCGACTGTGCAGAGAGACATGTGCGGTGTTGGGACGGGGATGCAGCTTTCTCTCAGCGCTCCATCGCCGACAGGAACAGGAACCTCGGGCTCGCGGCGAGCTCGCGTGCTAACCCGAAGCGGATGGCGCATTTGGACTTTTATGAAGCCTCCATCTCTGCCAGTCGCCTCTCGTCCGTTCTCCCTGTCTCACTATCGGCGCCCGCGCTCTTTCCTACCCACAATGTCGAGCTTTTCGCGAGTCTTGCAGCGCACCGCGCGCTCCGCCCTCCAGTACAACCGCAGCGCCAATCCCGTCCAGAATGCCCTCGGCGCGCAGGGCACTGGCAGGTTCATGAACGGCGTCAGGAACTACGCGGCCTTTGCCCGTGACAAGCCCCACGTCAACATCGGTGCGTCTCTCCATCGCATGCTCACACACACAAACACACACACACACACACACACACACACACACACACGATAGACGGACTTCTCACGGACTTCTCACGGACTTCTGACGGACTTGGAACGGACTTCTAACGGACACAGGCACCATCGGCCACGTCGACCACGGAAAGGTAGCGCCTCTTTGCCCCCGAGCACCCGCCGCGCACGCATAGTAACCGCGCACAGACAACCCTCACAGCCGCCATCACCAAGCGGCAGGCCGAGAAGGGCTTCGCCAAGTTCCTCGAGTACGGCGCCATCGACAAGGCGCCTGAGGAGCGCAAGCGTGGTATCACCATCTCCACCGCCCACATCGAGTACCAGACCGAGAACCGCCACTATGCCCACGTCGACTGCCCCGGCCACGCCGATTACATCAAGAACATGATCACCGGTGCCGCCAACATGGACGGCGCCATCATCGTCGTCGCCGCCTCGGACGGCCAGATGCCCCAGACCCGCGAGCACTTGCTCCTCGCCCGTCAGGTCGGTGTCCAGAAGATTGTCGTCTTCGTCAACAAGGTCGATGCCGTCGACGACCCCGAGATGCTGGAGCTCGTCGAGATGGAGATGCGTGAGCTCCTTTCCAGCTACGGCTTCGAGGGTGACGACACCCCCATCATCATGGGTTCCGCGCTGTGCTCGCTCGAAGGCCGCAAGCCCGAGATTGGTGAGACCAAGATCGACGAGCTCCTCGAGGCCGTCGACTCCTGGATCCCTACCCCCGCCCGCGACACCGAGAAGCCCTTCCTCATGGCCATCGAGGACGTCTTCTCCATCGCCGGCCGTGGCACCGTCGTCTCTGGCCGCGTCGAGCGCGGCATCCTGAAGAGGGACCAGGAAGTCGAGCTCGTCGGCAAGGGCAGCTCGCCCATCAAGACAAAGGTCACCGACATCGAGACCTTCAAGAAGTCCTGCGAGGAGTCGCGTGCTGGTGACAACTCGGGTCTCCTGCTCCGTGGTGTCAAGCGCGAGGACGTCCGCCGCGGCATGGTCGTCTCCGTCCCCGGCCAGGTCAAGGCCCAGAGGAAGTTTCTCGTCTCCATGTACGTCCTCAGCAAGGAGGAGGGCGGTCGCCACACGGGATTCGGCGACAACTACAGGCCGCAGATGTTCATCCGCACCGCCGACGAGTCGTGCGCGCTCACGTGGCCCGAGGGCACCGAGGACCCGTCCAAGCTCGTCATGCCCGGCGACAACGTCGAGATGGTCTGCGAGCTGCACCAGCCCCACGTCCTCGAGCAGGGCCAGCGCTTCAACATGCGTGAGGGAGGCCGCACAGTCGCCACTGGTCTTGTGACCCGTGTTCTCGGTTAAGCATTTGAAAAATGACCGCAGGGAGCGAGAGACTGAATGTGAATGAAGGAGCGAGAGACCGAAAGCAAGGGACCATACCCAGTGTAAGATGAGACGGGTTTTCTGTACATTATTTGTAACTCGCGCGCGCTCTCCGCTTCGATGATATTATCAAGCATGTACTTTAGCACGGCACGGCACGGATCTAGACGAGGCGTTCGCATGTTAGCGGAGGTCGGAGGGAATGGCATGATATGTACAACGCCACGCTTTGCCTTGCATCTCGCAATCGATTACAATTGAGTGAATGTGCAGACGGATGTGCCTCTCCATGGCTCGTGCAGTGTCGCCTTGATTAACATGCTCATTCCGAGGCTTGGCGATGGAAGCAGCAGTCCTCAGTTATCCTCTCGGACGACAACGGTCACACTCTGGACATGCGTGGTCGCACTTTGTCCACCTCGAGTCGCGTCATAAGGCTGGATGCTGACCCAATCACGACGCGTTGGCTCAGACGCGCCATGGGTCCACTGCCCGCACCCGCGCCCCATCTGGAGCACCGCACAAGGCTGATGCTTGTCTCACCCACACTTCGAATGCAACGCCAACTGCAAACAGACCTTACTCACCTCCACGATTCTAGCGCGCTATGCGATACGTTACATCACTATCCACAACATGTCTACTTCCGAATCAGATGTCCTGAAGCCGAGGGAATCCACGCTGCACGAGGACGACTGGGCCGAATTCCCGCTGAGCGATGTGTCGGTCGTGTACGAAGCCACCAAGAAGCCAGCGAGCCTTTTGGCCGCCTACGCGAACTGCCCGCTCACAGTGAAAGGACGCCTCGACATGCCTGAGCGAAGACATGCACACCACCGTACGCCTGGCGCACGCACTGCCCGGACCCGGCACTGACGATATCACAGTACTCAAGAAACCGCACAAACCCACCAATATCGTGGTTCGTAACGTCACGCGCTTCGCATATGCCCAACTTGACGACGGGGCCTGCGCACTTTGGGCATTGGGAGAAGCAGGATGGTTCAGCGTCGAAGCACCCGCAGCACACTACCAGAGCACATACGATGCGGACATACAGGCTGTGGAGCTGCTGTACTTCCTGATCGACTGCTATTCGGAGATGCCAAGGAAGAAGGGCGGTGGCCCCAGCGCGTCGTTACTGTACCGGGAGGTGAGTAGGCGTGGCCTCTAAACGGTCGCTTGAGCGTGCTGACCGTATGCAGTACGCCGAGAAGGAGAAGTCTGCCTGCAGAGATCCCGCAGAAGCAGAGCAGATCTTCTACAAGCACCGCGAATTCCTCCTCATGAGCTTCCTGGGGCGGACGTATGGGATCAGCTGGAGCAACACGCCAATCTACCAGACTATCAAGCGACAGTTTCCCGTAAGTGAGGCCGAGGAGCGACCATGCAGGATACTGACGTTGCCCAGTCTGACTTCGAACGATGTAAGGCTCGGCACGAAGGACGCTACGACGAGATCAAGCCCGAACGAACATCACGTACCTCGAGAACGTCTCCTGCTCCCGTGTCGACAGCGAAGAAGGTACAAAAAGGCAAGGGCAACACGGTCGTGGCTAAGACAGAAGATGCGCCGAAGAAAGACGACAATTGGTGGGAGTCGGCTACACTGTTCGAGTTCATGCAGAAAGCTGTCAATCAGCGCGTGGTACGAGCGGGTCGCAACAGTATCACAGTCGAACGAGTTGCCCAGCTGATCATCAAGCGCTACGAGATCGAGGATATACAGACGGCGAGAAATGTGCTTCTGGTGCATGCGCAAAATCTGTGCTACATGATGGACCACCCGCGACGGCAAAACACCCGATTCTTCGCAGCAGAGCCGATTTACCGCGAACTAACAGCCGGACACACGTTTTCGGCGGCTGACCAAAGAAGAGCGGAAGCCGTGGAGCTGCGGCCACGGAAAGACCATGCTTCGCTGCGAGGAGAAGATAGCGAGTCATCAGACACTTCAAACGATGACGACGCGGGAGACGGCGTGATGACAACACCGAAACAGCGAATGCCTGGGAGAAGTAAGAAAGGCACTCTCTCAGTGCTTCGACCGAAAAGCGGCAAATTCTCAGGCAAGGGCACGGGCGCAAATCGAGGCGGAAAAGGCAAGACGAAACCACCCATACCGGTGTCCGACTCAGAAGCAGACTCAGCAAGCGACGGAGAAGACGCCATGGCCAGGGACACACCAACCCACGCCCTCTCATCCGGACCGAAGCGCAAGCTGGACACATCAGACGAAGCAGAAGAAGGCAAACGGCAACGCGCCCACAGCTCCCCGATCCCGCCCTCCCCATCCACCTCAGCCGACGAGACACCCGAACCCGGCACCGCCGACCCTCCTCTCCCGCTGCGCTACCGCGCAGGCACGAGCCATACCGAATCCACAGCGCCCGCTCGCCCGGCGATCTTGTCGACGCCACTCCCCACGTACGAGTCCAACGGCCCGCGAGACTCGTGGATCTGTGCATTCGACGGCTGCGCACAGCGCATCTACGGCTGCAGCAAGGAGATTGGCCGACAGCTCATCACGGAGCATTTAGAGGACCACACCAAGGGGCGGGAGAAGGTGGTGGGGATCCTGTGGCGCGAGCAGGATAAGCTGCATCTGCCTGTGAAGTAAGTACGGCCTGGCTGATGTGGTGACTGAGCAGAGACTGACGGCGCTGTAGTAATCTTATCAAGAAGATACGGGAGATGGGCGAGGCGAGGACTCCGCTCTTCCCGGCTGACATGGTGAGGACGCAGTCTATACATCGCCGTGTGTGATGCCGCATGCGCGTGAGTATATTCATGTTTGTGTCCACATCCACATCCACGTCCACGTCCACGTCCACGTCCACGTCCACGTCCACATCCACATCCACGTCCACATCCACATCCACGTCCACATCCACATCCACGTCCACGTCCACGTCCACGTCCACGTCCACATCCACATCCACATCCATGGTCCTCGGGGCTTAGACCCCCAGCATTCCCCCGACGACTGGACCTGGTCTTGAATCTGAGATCCTAGCCAGCAGTGGCAGGACGCCGCGTGCGCACTGAAGACGCCGCGAGATGGGACTGCAGCTGGCTCTGCGCGTGGGCCAGGATGGAGCTATATGCGTGTCCGCCGCATTACGCTCGCTACGCTCGGGGCATGCGTTCCGCTGATGCTGCGACGCGGTGCAGACAAAATGCGCGTCCAGCCGCTCCTCACGCGCTGTTTTCGAGCTGCGACATCGGGGGTGGGTTAGTATGTGGGCATTGCAATGGCGAGCGACTGGGCATTGCAATGGCGAGCGACTGGGCACGATGATGGAGGCAGTCAGTCAGTCAGTGCAACGGCGGTGCTTGTGTGCTAAGTGGGGGGCTGTTAGTGTGTAGCTGGATCCGGGGAAGAGTAACGTGATCACGCGTTGAGAGCTGGGTGAGATGCATGTTTCGTATTGTCGCGCCGTGTCTTGAAAACGCCGTCGTGCTTGAACTAGACGCTGATTGTCTTGAAAACGCTGCGACATGTTAGCAGACGACTGTCGGGCTTGGATGGATACGCACCCGAACCCCGACCCGCCCGTGGCCATGAGCATGCCCGGGATCTGCGGGTGCCAGTGTGCCTCCTTGATCTGATCCATGTAGTGCACAAACAGCAGCTGGGGCGGGACGTCCTGGACGCCAGCCGTGTCCCTGCTCTCCTCGTCGTCGAGCTCGACGGCGAGATCCCACAGCGTCAGGGTGTTATCGCCAGCGCACACGGCGACGATGCTGTCGTCTGTGGGGTGCCATTCGACGCTCGTAATCTGCTCGCGGTGGAAGGTAAAGTTCGCGACGGGTGTGGGCTTGGCCGACGCGTCTAGGGAGGTCGAGGGCTTCCACTGGCGCAGGTCCCAGACGGCCCACTCGCCGTCGTCGGCGCCCGTGGCGAGCAGGTGCGCCGTCTGGTGCGACCACGAGAGCACGTTGACGTCGGTGTTGCTGACTTGGACCGAGACGGCGGCGTTGCGCGACTTGGAGCGCGCGTCCCAGATCTTGACGCAGCCGTCGTTGGACGCCGACGCGAAGACGTGCTTCTCGGTCGGCGACCACTGCAGCTCCTCGACCGTGCCCCTGTGGCCAGTAAAGGGGGTCGTGTCGGTGACGAAGCCGCCGCCCTGTGTGCGTGTCGTGGCGAAGATGTTGCCGGCGACGTCGCCCGTGACCAGCTTGCCCTCGGGCACCAGCGGCGACCAGTCGAGCGCGTAGCCTTCGTTGGCCTTGTGCGCGCGGATCGTGCAGACCGGCTTGTTCTGTGCGGCGGTGATGGTCGTGCCGGGGGTGTCGAACGAGGCGAGGTGCGGCGTCACGTCGTGGATCACCACCTGTCCGTTCTCCATCATCGCCGCAGTGAGGGTCGTCGGCGGCCGCGCCGACGTCGCCTGCGGCGACTGGTGCGCGCGGATGCGGTTGGTGCAGCTCTGCAGCGGGATCGACTTGGTCTCGAGGATGGGGTCTGATGCGTCGGCGTCTTCGTCTTCGTCGTCGTCGTCGTCGTCGTCGTCGTCGTCCTTGTCCATGCGCGACAGACTGCTCATCTTCATCACCATCATCTGGTTCTCCTTGTCTCTCCCCTGCGCGGCCTGCGTGCCGGCGACCGCGTAGACGGTGGCCGGGTATGTCGTGCGGCCGGAGCCCAGCCCGTCGCGGACAATGTCGCAGGAGAGACACGGCCACGGCGCCTCGAGCGCGTGCAGCATCTCGTATGTGGACAGGTCGGGCGCGAGCGTCTCGCCGGCCGAGAGCTTGTGCCGGCCGGGGATGAATGTGTCCTGGTCGACGTCCATGGCGTCTGGCGGGTCAGCATGCGCTGGAGTGCTTCAGGCGCGTCGACACGTACGCTGCTTCTCCTCGGCCTCGCGCTCCTCGTCGGGTCGCCCGTCGACGCCGGCCTCGAGGATCTCGTCGTCGCTCTCAAACTCGTCCTCGAATTCGTCCTCAAAGTCGAGTCCCTCGTCTGTCGGGTCGGCCTGCATGGGACGGTCGCCATTCTTGATGGCCTCGACCTCGGAATGCGAGTCGGCGGGTCGCTTGGCCATGGTCGGCTGTTGTGATTGCGGTGCGCGTGAGAGCGTTGTGTGTGTGCAGAAAGGGCACCCCACGTCACCGTCGCAGAGGTCAAAAAAAGTTCGGAGGGGTCGGTAGCGCCGGCTGCACCAGGGATCCACACCGCAAGGCCGCCATCCCAGGCGCTCGAGGAACGACTTTCTCGCCAGAGCGTGCTTACAAACACAGCAGATGCAGTAGACACACTAGACACGGTAGACACGGTGGATACGGTAGACTGATCGATTGATCGATGGATCGATTGATTGATTGATAGACACGATAGCTGCTCTCTCTTGCGTCCGATCCGAGTCGCGCGCCTCTACTGGCGGGCATTGGGCAACACGACGCGTGCAGTTCTTGCGACGTGCCACCGCCCCTTGCGCCAGGCGCGGGGACGATTCGCCCAGCGCCCAAGGCTGCCCGGCACCAGCGCACCACCGCCTGCGCCCTATTCGCCCGCCTGCCCGCCCGCCTGCACATGCCAGCGGCCTCGAATCAACACACGCGCCCACACGTCGCAACCACAACAACCACCGCCATGGAGGCCCCGCCCGACCAGCAGCCCGCGGCCGCGCCCGCGGCCGCGTCCGACGCCCCCGACGCGCTCAAGCACAGCGAGCAGACGGCCGACGTCGACGGCAGCCACCCGGGCCACGCCAGCGACGGCGGCGCCGTCGCCGCCAACCCCGTCTCGCCGCCGCCGCAGTTCCACCCCAGCAACCAGAGCAGCAACGGCTACACGCCCGAACCCGCCCGCCCCTCGACGTCGTACTCGGACACGGCCTACCAGTATCCGCACAATGGGTCGCGGTTCAACTCGTCCGACGCCGACACGCCGCCCCGGCCGGCCTACTACGACAACGCCAAGGAGACGCACATGGGCCAGTCGCACTCGCGCCCCACGTCGCAGATGGGGCGCTACTCGACGTCGGACGCCGGCGGCCGGTCCAACTCGTACCAGGAGCAGAACTCGCGCACGGCGCAGCCCGAGCCCGCCAAGAACTCGAGCGTGGTCATCAAGGTGGGCATGGTCGGCGACGCCCAGATTGGCAAGACCAGCCTGATGGTCAAGTACGTCGAGGGCAGCTGGGACGAGGACTACATCCAGACACTAGGTGCGTCGTCCACGGTCGTGTGACGCGTCGAGTCGCTGACAGCAGCAGGTGTCAACTTCATGGAGAAGACCATCTCGATCCGCAACACGGAAATCACCTTTTCCATCTGGGACCTGGGCGGCCAGCGCGAGTTTGTCAACATGCTGCCGCTCGTTTGCAACGACGCCGTCGCGATCCTCTTCATGTTCGACCTGACCCGCAAGAGCACACTCAACTCCATTAAGGAATGGTACAGGCAAGGCCGAGGCTTCAACAAGACGGCCATCCCCTTCCTGGTCGGCACCAAGTACGACCACTTTGTCAACTTCCCGCGCGAGGAGCAGGAGGAGATTTCAAACCAGGTGTGTAGCTCCGCGCGGACCCACGGCCACGACCAACACCGACGACTGACACCGACGACTGACACGGACGACTAACACCGCGCAGGCCAAGCGTTTCGCGCGAGCCATGAAGGCCAGTCTCATCTTCAGCAGCACAAGCCACAGCATCAACGTGCAAAAGGTGCGCAACGTCCGCTTTGGATCCCACGCACACGCTGACCCTCGCAGATCTTCAAGATTGTCCTCTCCAAGGCCTTTGACCTCAAGTGCACCATCCCCGAGATTGAGAACATTGGCGAGCCTCTGCTCCTCTACCAGGCCGTCTAGTCGCCGGAACGTGTGCATCGCCGGCACCGAGAGCGCGACCAAAGCTAGAGACGGACTGCTCGTCGGCGGAACCAGGGGCACGGCGACCCCCGAGGCGCGCCAACGACAAAGGCCACTTCCGCCACGAGCACCGCCTACCTTTTCCACGAGCGACTGATTTTGTTGATTTTCTTGCGTGGGACTGCATAAACCGGCGACTGGAGCAACGTGCTGATTGCAATGCTGGGATACAAAACGGCGTTCTACGGCCTGGGGTGAAGGTTCGATTCCGAGGGAGGGGTCTGGCACCAACCATGAAGAATCAGGAGCGCGGACTCCTTGTACCGCACCGCCCAGCGCGGCTGCTTTTGTGCTGGCGCTTGGGATCTAGCATTGGTAACAACATACTGTAGTGTCTTATTATCCTATCGAATCCTGCAGATCCGCGGTCCGTTCCGTGCGTTCCATGTGACGGTGACATGCGAGCCAGGGCAGGTGCACGCGGTGACGTACCGCTAGGCAAGAATAAGCGAAGCTCCCGCAACTTTTTGCAACGACAGCCACCGCGCATAGTCAACACTGCAGCACTTGAACACTGCGGCACTTGAACACTGCGGCACTAGAACACTGCGGCGCTTGAACACTGCGGCGCTTGAAGACTACAGCGCTTGAAGACTACAGCGCTTGAAGACTACAGCACTTGAAGACTGCAGCACTTGAAGACTGCAGCACTTGGACACTGCAGCACTTGAACACCTCAACGCTACAACACCTCAACACTACAACACCTCGACACTTCAACACTTCATCACTTCAACACCTCAACACCTCAACACTGCAACACTGCAACACCTCAACACTACAACACTTCAACACTGCAACACCTCAACATTGCGCAAACGCTCCAATCACGGTCGCAAACGCTCCAATCACGGTCGCAGGTCCCACGCGAAGCTGCACACGAACAACGCTCGCCTACGCCACCGCACCCCCAACCACACCCCACCGTCGCAATGGCCCTCCCATCCATAGCCCTACCAGGCCAGCTCCTCGGCACAGCAGACAAATACCTCCCCGGCCCCGGGACACACATCCACTCGTCCTCCATCTACGCCTCGATCGGCGGCCCCGTCACCACATCCCCTACGCCCAAAACCACAGCCGCAAAGCCCTCGCCGCTCCTCTCGATACAAAGACCCTCCCCCTCGGCCTCCCCGGGCGTCCTCGGCACCGGCTCCGGCGGCGGCGGCACCATCCTGCCCCAAGTCAACAGCGTCGTTCTCGCGCTCATCACGCGCCTGGGCCCGCGCTTCGCCACCTGCGAGATCCTCGTCATCGACTCGATCGTCTGCCGCGAGTCGTTCCAGGGCCAGATCCGCCGCGAGGACATACGCGCCACCGAAAAGGACAAGATTGTGATGCAGGACAGTTTCCGCGTCGGCGACCTTGTCCGCGGCACCGTGATTAGTCTGGGTGATCAGAGCAATTACTATGTCTCGACCAGCGAGAATGAGTTTGGTGTTGTTGTGGCGAGGAGCGAGGAGGGGCGGCTCATGTACCCGGTCAGTTGGAGGGAGTTTCGTGATCCGGTTAGTGGGAAGCATGAGAGCAGGAAGGCTGCTAAGCCGTTCTGATGCCGTGCTTGATGGAAGGGGACGCGAGGGGACGGGGGGTGCGAGGATATACCCAGAAGTATCGAGTCACGAGTATCGAATCACGAGTGTCGAATCACGAGTATTGAATCACCAGTATTGAGTCACGAGTATCGAATCACGAGTATTGAATCACCAGTATCGAATCACCAGTATCGAATAACGAGTATCAAATCACCAGTATCGAATCATGAGTATCGAATCATGAGTATTGAATCACCAGTATCGAATCACCAGTATCGAGTCACCAGTATCGAATCACCAGTATCGAGTCAACAGTATCGAATCATGAGTATCGAATCATGAGTATGGAATCGCCAGTATCGAATCACCAGTATCGAATCACCAGTATCGAATCACCAGTATCGAATCACCAACATCGAATCACAAACATCAAATCACCAGTATCGAGTCACAAGTATCGAATCACGAGTATTGAATCACGAGTATCGAATCACAAGTATCATGCGGGACGGCTGTGCATTCCAACATCTCAGAGCGACGGATTTCGAGCTTTGTGACCTCGTAGGTTATAGCCTAGGCCATAGCCTCATACAGCGAGCGCTGGCATTCCGAGCGCTGACTAACCTAGCATCACGTAATCACCTCCATAACCTCTCCTCCCTCAGCAACACACCTCTTCACTACGATTTCTCCCTCTCATATAAACCCCCCAGCTAACCCCCATCACATCCTCGCCCTCCCTCTCCGCCCCTCTTCTCCTTGCCCTGCTTATGAGACCTCCGCAGTCTCACGTCTGCTCCGCCCATGTCTAGGCGCCGCAGGTGAGCTTGTCGGGTTGCGATGGCCGGTTGTTTGCGTGCCTTCTCCGATGAGACGCTTTGACAGGCGATCAATGTCGGAGTGCGGACGAGCCGCTTTGACAGGCGATCAATGTTGGAGTGCGGACGAGCCGCTTTGACAGGCGATCAATGTGGGAGTGCGGACGAGCCGCTTTGACAGGCGATCAATGTTGGAGTGCGGATGAGCCGCGCCTCTCGTCTTCTGTCGTTAGGACTGGTGTATTTGCTGAGCAAGCCCGGGCTTGACTTTGGCATCCATCTGCGATCTCCGCCGCTCCACCATATGCGAAGACGCAGCTTCGACGTTGCTGACGGACTACAGAAAGAGTGTCTCTCAGTCCGTCAGCTGCTGGTGACAGGTCTGCAAGTTTCTGGCCAAGCTGGTCTTTTGCTGCATCATGCTGGCTGTCTGCCTCCACGTGCGCACTTCCACCTCCAGAGCATGTCTGCTTCGTACGGGATACCCCCTCTCCTCGGCCGTCGCAACGCGCCTCTTTGCGAACAGTTGGTCGCGATACCGCGCGACACTGAGGTCTTGCTGCTGTCGCTCGAGCGCGTCGAATTTAGCTGAGAGCGCGGACAAGTCATCCACTTGTGTTCCCACGCTCGGCGGCTTCGACGACAAGACAGCCGTCTACTGCTTCAAAAGGCGGAGCGTTCGAGAGTGAGACTCGCTACTTCCATTGGATTTCCATGCTTGATTCACAGGCAATGCTTCCAGCTTCTCCATTCTTGCCTGCAGTTCATTTCTCTGCTATTGAAGCCCACGCTTCTCTTTGTACAGACGGCTGTGATTTGTCTGCAGCTCGGCAATCTCCCCCCAATTTCCCTCCCAAGCGCGCCCCCCTCCCCCCTCAGCCCAGAAACTCAACGCTGCAGCTCCGCGCTCCTTTTCCCCCGTCTCCCTCTCCGCCGCGATACCTGCCTCGAACTTGGTCCGCAGCCCATGCACCACGCACTCCGGCGCAGCCGCCGAAAGGAAATTTCTGGCACACCAGGCAGGCTGGTGCTAGTCCGCGGTCTCCCGCTGCGGCTAAGATGGAGGTCTGGACGAAGCGCCAGGCGTCCGCGGCTGGGCCTGGAACGGGCGATATGGAGCGCAGGCTCGAGGGCCGGGGCGCTGGCATGGTGGGTCGCGTGGTGTTGAGAGAGTGATGGTCTGGTGGGTGAGTGGGGGTTATATCATAGAGTTGGGAGGTGCAGCAGCACAGTGCGGCACGCTCATGTCGGTGCAGGGCCGCAAGGAGACGGGGAGGCGTGCTTGCTGACTCGGAGGCGTAGTGAAGGTTCACCCACCCAGCCCATTCTTCGGCGTATGCATGCCGTCGCCGCTTCACTTGCTCTGAGCGAGCGCGTTGCTGCCCCATCAGATCGAACCATCCCCATCAGACCGAACCATTCTCATCAGACCAAACCATCCCCATCAGACCGAACCATCTCCGCTTCTACAGCCGTGCATCATCTACCCCCACCGTCGAACCACGGCCTAGTTTCCACTCAGACTCGCGATCACCACGCGAGCGCAACTCTCTCAATGGTTTCCACACCACCCACCGCGAACGCGATGGCAGCTGTATTGCTCAGACTGAAGGAGCGACAACGCCCTGCCCTGCCCGAGCTGGACTCAGCGGCACAATGTCTCTGCAAGAAACCACGGATTCACGGCGTGCGTGACCCATAGACGAGGTTATTTCAGGTTCGAGTGTGTGGCTTGTCTGCCTTGAGACTGCGCTGCTGCGCAAGAATGGGCTGAGCAGAGCGCGGTTTGCTGGAGCAGTAAGAGCACGGTGGTGAAGCCAGTACGCATCAACAGGCGTGTGTGGACTGGATACGAGGAAAGGTGGTGCCCGTTTACAACTGCTACCGAATTGGACAGACCGTCAACACCGCCTCGGTTGTTTGAGCCCGACGGCTCTACACATCGAGGTGCGCATGCGCCCGCACAATACTGACACGACGCGCAGATGCCATTCACGACACCCGCGGAGCTGATCTCTAGGTGTTTCGCGTAGCGTACGTACCTTGTCACAATCTGCTATCGAGTGTGATTCTTGTGCTTGGACTTGATTTTCCTCTTGCGATGAGTGACTTGTGCATCCCGTGTGGTGGGTGTTGCTTTGCCAGCAGGTCGCTCGCGCAGTGCAATGAACTACTCTGCGCTGTGGTTGGATAAAGTAGCCTGTCACAGAGCTTTGTCAGAGCGCTGCCGAGACATCGCAAGCGCTGCACGCCTTGAAGTTTTCCAGTGACAACGTTGGATGCACCCCCGGACTTGTTTGGTAAGAAGCGATAGTTAGCGTTCACATGATTCCAACACACGCTGCACGCGGCTGTCGCACTTCATCTGGCATGAGATCCCGACACCACTATGCCAGAGATGGCCTTGATCCAAATGGCTGCTGAGCAGGATGAACGCGGACCGAGGAGGGCGCTGATAAAAGTCCAGTCTGTGACGCCGGGCTCGAGATCCGGCTACCAGGTAGTTGGGCACGTCAGACGGGGTGACAGGACCGTTGTCGTGGTGAGGCCGCTTATCAGACTAGATGACACAGCGTTGTTGACCAGTAACGGTCTGCTCGGCGTCTGCGGGCACATGGGAAGTGCGTCTCCAGGGCGCGATCCGGTACCGAACAGCTCATGGGTCATCAGTGCCAGCGTGACACGATGCCGTCGATAGGTATGTCGGCCGGGGGATAGTGCATCTCGCCTTTTGCACAACAAATCAGGAGGCCTGAGGAGACGGGTAATGGGTGGGCTGGGCCCTCGCGGCGTAAGTGGTGCGCTCTGCCGCGTCGCCGGAGTGTGTCGGCAAGGACTACGCACGGCGAATGACTCGGCGCTAACATAATAAGACCTTGGATACACCAGCTGCTACAAGGACGGTACAGCGGTATATTCGCGTCAGCGCGCGACTATTGAGTCTCGTCGCTAGGGCAAGATTGCTGTCTGGCTGGAGACACGCTTATGTGATCGCGGACATTGGCTTTCTCGCCGCCCAGGAGGTGGCGTATCGACTACCGGGCAAGAAGACGGGGGCGTATGAGCATGGTCGTGCAGACAAGCTCCAGCGTCAGCGAAGCGACGCGGGGTAGATCCGCGCTAGTGAATGGGGTAATATACCGGGGTGGTGGTTGTGGTTAGCAGGGCGCGGTCAAGCACCGACACGGGCCTTTGCTCACGAGGGGGAAAGCTTATCTCAATGCTTGCGTAGCCCGCTAGGCACACGAGCGATGCTCCAATCACGAAACACAAGAGACACGGCCCAGATCAGAATTGCCGCCTTTTGCCAGCGAAGAAACACCGTATGCACGCCACGCTCGAGGCAGGCCCGATACCCCGCGATTCCATGCCGCGAGAAGTCTGAAAGTGGAAACTCTGGGCCGCGATGCTGTGAGCATGCTGCAAATATAAGGCGACCTTCCATCGGGAGGCCAAGCGACAAAATTCTGTTCAACCCTTTCAGGCACTCCTTTGCATTGCAGGTGCCCGAAACCTCCCCTTAACCGATATTCTCGGTCCCTTGTGGTTCCCAATACAGTCTGCCATTTGCGGCTCCTGAAGCACTAGTCATCGTGCAACATGACCGAGCGTAGTGGAAGCTCCGGTAAGCACTGTCCAATCGACTACAACACCCGATCTGATTGTGTAGACAACTCGGAGCATTCGCCACCCAAGGCGAGCATCGAGCATGTCGAACATATTCAGACCGACGAGCGCGTGCAGGGCCATGCAAATTACTACGAGAAGGATGGCGTCAGGACCTACGGCGATGGCGAGGACCACGACCACGAGCCCCCCATGAATTTCAAGCGCATGATGGCTCTGGTCGCCATGGCGTTTTGTAAGTCTTGCCCTCCCGCGTCAGAGCCGTGCTGACAGGCATGCAGTGTGGACTGGAAGTCAGATACCCGTGTACCTTTTCGGCGGCATTCCTCCGTACATCTACGGAGATATCGGCGGCACCGACCGATGGATCTGGTTCGTGCTAGCCAATCTGCTGTCGCTGGCGGCTGTCTGTCCATTCGTGGGTTCCATCTCGGATATAGTAGGGCGACGCTGGGTAGCCATCATCGGTGCCTGCTTCCTCATCCTCGGCATGATCGTCTGCTCGACGGCACACACCATGAACGTCTTCATTGCCGGCATGGTATTCTCTGGTATTGGCGCTGGCATCAACGAGCTCACGGCGCTAGCCGTGACTTCGGAGCTTGCGCCGACCAGCCAGCGCGGCAAGTATGTTGCAGTGCTGATCTTCACCATCATTCCGTTCTGCCCGTCGGTCCTGTGGGCGCAGCTGATAGCCTCACACTCGAGCTGGAGGTGGATTGGTGTCTGGTGCGGTCTCTGGGCTTTGGTTGGCCTTGTGCTGACGGTGATTTTCTATCACCCGCCTCCACGGGTGAACACCGTGGGGATGAACCGAAAGCAAGTGCTGGCGGAGATTGACTATGTTGGTGGTTTGCTCTCGGTTTCGGGCATGATTCTATTCATGGTACGTGTCTCCTAGCCTGCATGGGTGGCTGCTGGGCTGGTTTACTGACTCGATCGTGCAGGCAGGCATGCAGTGGGGCGGCTACCAGTACCCTTGGTCCAGTGCGCACGTCCTCGTACCTTTGATCCTCGGTGCTGTCTTGATCGTTGCATTCGTCGTATGGGAAGCCAGGTGGGCAAAGCACCCCATGTTCCCGAAGCGACTGCGTCAAGAACCTCGCATTCTCGGTCTGACCCTGGTCATCACGTTCATTTCGGGCGCGAACTTCTTCTCCATCCTCATGTTCTGGCCTACTCAGGCATTTAACGTGTACGGACACGATCCTGTGGGCGTCGGGCTTCGAGGAATCCCTGTCGGTTTCTCCATCCTGGCAGGAGCTTGTATTGTCCTGTGGCTGCTCTCGGTTCTTCGAGGTCACAACAAGGAGTTGCTGATCGTGTCGTCGATCTTGATGACCGCTGGATGCGGAGCACTTTCTGTCGGTCGAGTTGACAACCTCCATCAGCTTTGGGGCCTCTTGGTCCTGGCCGGACTCGGGATCGGAGGCATCGTGGTTCCTGCTTCAATCATCTGTAAGACTCCTTGTATGTCTCTTCTACCAGATCGCTAACCTCAGTAGCCACTATCATCTGCCCAGACGATCTCATTGCGACTGTCGCCGCGCTTACCTTGGCCATACGTGTCATTGGCGGATCGGTTGGATATTGTGTTTATTACAATGTCTTCTTATGTACGAAACACTACGTCGTTTGCTACAGAATCCCAACTGACCTAACCCAGCAAAATTTACTCCCCAGGCCACGCATTATATTGGAGGCGTCATGGTGACCAAGCTCAACATCACCTCTCCCAAGATCATCGAGGAAGCCATCATCATCACCGGTGCGTCACTGCTTCCACTGCTCGAGGAGCTCCCGGGGATCAAAGGTGTCCCAGGCGCTTATGAAGCGGTGGTATTTGCAGGTCAGCTGGCGTACGCCGAGGCGTACAAGTATGTGTACTTCGTGAGTATCGCCTTTGGCGGAGTTGGCATTATAGCGGCGTGCTTTCTGGGTGACATTTCGAAGTACATGGACGACCACGTAGCTGTTTCGTATCACTAGGCATTGCACTGTGGTTGATGCGCTATGGCCGAGTCAGCGATTCGTAGTTGATGTCCGGGCAATGGGGTAGAAGAGCAAATACTGGGAATTAGAAGCTTTTCGCACATAATTCAGCCTTCTACCTACTTGGCGAACAGAACAGCTTTTGCAATCCAGACATCGTACCGTGTCCGTGCGCACAACGCCCGGAGTCGAACAACGCCCGCTCCACCCCTGCACTGCAAATACAAAGACGAAGCTGTAGAGCCACGTACAATAATTATTATCGTGAATTTTTTTGGTGGAGTATTCTATAGGCCTACGCAACAAAGTTTCTTATACAAAGTTACTGGTATCTTGTGGCGGTGCGGCCAGACCTGGTAGTGACAGTTGCGCGTGGTAGCGGAGGCGTCGCAGACTTGGGATGACTACGAGCACCCACAGCACGACGTGCAGGCTTCTGTTTGACTGCAGAAGCTTTTGAGGTTGTGCAATTGCCTCTTTGAGGTACTTTGAGAGCTTTTGCAGTGTTGCGAGCTTCTTTATCCTTACGTCTCTGCTCTTTGCGCGCATCAATGGCTGCGCGTTCCTCTGCACGCTCACGCTCACGCACCTCCTTTGCCTTTGCAGCTGCCGCACGCTTTTCTTCCTTTAGTTTCTCATTGAAAAGCTTATTAGCAGCAGCTGAATCCTTCTTCTCTGCCTTTTTGAGCTCCTCCTCTTGCCTCTCATGGTCTGCAACACTCATGCGAGCGCGCGCCTCCCGGAAGGACCGAGGAGACCACATCATCGCACCTCCATGATATTCTTGGTGTTGTTGCAAGTCTAATTGTCTATTAGGTTGCTTCTGGCGCTTCCTGGTTTGGTATAGCTTCTTGCGCAAGGCGTCAAGTTCAGTGCTTAGCAACTCTACTTGAGTTGATAGATGGTGGATAGTTTGACCCAGCTTCCGCGCGCCTACACTGCGGTGATTCTTGACCTCTGCATGAAGTGTAGTGCAAGCTTTAAGCCAATCCTCTGCAGAATAAGCTGTAGAACTAGAGGAGACTGATCTTAAGTCGTCAGGGGTGGTGTGGCGGAACCTATCCAGTATAACGTTGGGATCTATTGGAGAGATACCAGTAGCTGTGAAGGCCTTTAATATAAGGTCTTCTTTGAACGTGTTTACCCAGGCAGGCCAGAACAGGGCATGGAAGTCACCCTTAGACAGTGGCGCAAGGCCTTGAGATGCCTGGAGGTAGTTGTCGAGTTCAGAGGCGTAGTTGGAGGAGAGAGGTTTGAAGCAGACTACGTCCAGTGGCTGCAGAGTCTGGGTACTGTGAGGTGGTAGCACTGCCAGTATAATCCGTTTCTGGTGACAGTATTCAATAAAGCTCTGCGTAAGGTGACTCCCATGGCCATTTACAATTAAGAGGCGGTACTTTAACCGCGCCTTTGGCTTAGTGTAGCGGTCAAACACCTGCTCAAGCCAGGCTAATCCTATCTCATTGTTTGTCCATCCTGAGGGCGAAGAGGCGACGTGAACTGAGTGTTTTCCTGGGTGGATATCTGCTACCCAGCGACTCTGAATAGTAGAGTTCTTTGACGCAAAGATGATGCCTGGGGGAAGAGCAGTACCATCAGCGCAGATAGTAGCTAAGAGGCTCACCCACTCACGTGAGCCATCTTGACGAGCCTGCCTAACCTCCTTCTTCTCATATTGACGCCTGCTGAACACCCGCTTACTCCTACCCAGCACCCCTATCGCGAAGCCCTTCTCATCCATATTGTATGTGTGCTCTGGCTCAAGCTTATACTGGGTAATCTTCTGCTGCAGAAGCTTAAAGTATAGCTTATACTTGTATGCTGACTCAGCGTTGTGGCGATTAGAGTCCATGCCAGTGGCCCATTGGGACGTGAGCTGATCGCGGTGACGGTGCAGGAAGCGATTAACCCAGCTATCGGAGCAGGGCTGTGAGGCAACAGAGGATGCGAAATTTTGTACCATACGCCTTGTAGGTGGTAAGTGACGCGCTGACAACTCTTCTATATACTTAACTAGATCTGCTTCCTGTTGCTTGTTAAGTTTGCGCTTGTTTTCGTGGGCAACGCGTCGGGGACCCTGCACGCCTTGGTGCGCGCGCGACAACGTAGAGCGATCAACACCATGTTTTTCTGCAATATGTGTATATACAAGTTTGTCTCCTGGCTTCAGGTTTTCGATCTCTGCAAGCGCATCTGAAATTCCTGTCATGGTGGTTGAGTTCTCACGCGTTGAAGTTTGGTGTAGATGTTGTGCTCCGGGCGTTGTTCGACTCCGGGCGTTGTGCGCACGGACACGGTAGGCCGCCCGGGTGTAACGTATTTTACAAGCGAGCGCCGCGTACAAGCGAGCGCCGCACCCTACCAAACTTGCGCATCTCAAAGCCCTGCAACTCAACAACATGATAATATAATATATAGATAACGTGGTTCACAAGCGAGTCGCCCACCCAAGTGAGTCGTCCACCAAACACCCGCGCCGCGCCTACGCAGCAGTGCAGCGCAGCACTACAATAAATTACAATACTACACATAACATTATAATATTATTCAGAAGCGTTGCTATTATCTACATCCTCAATTTCTACCTTACAGGTGCAGGAGTTGTGCCCAATTTCGCTGCAACAGCTGCAGCGCCTCTCTGCGCGCACCCTCTTCGCAGGCGTCTTGCCCTCCTCACAACTACCACCCTCCTTTTTAGCAACTAGGTCAGATACCTCACTAACTGTCAGAGTCTCCTCTACGCGTACATACCGCCTTTTACAGGTCTTGCGCTTTGTAAGCGTAGTAACAGCGTCTTATAGGCGGCCTATTTCCTCCTGCACTAACACTATATTATAAGCTATCTGTTGAGCGCCTTTACTTAACTACTTAACCTGCTTATCTAATAAACTTGCAAGTGACCCACAATGATTTTGCATGCGATTTCGGATCAGCGTTAACTGCGCCTCTATCTCGCGGGCGTTGCGTGGTGTTTGCGCCTCCCAGGCAACAGTGCCTGGTGCAGGTGGCGTTGGCGTACGTAGCTGTACATCAAGCTTCAATAACACAACCTTAGGGTCATGCAGGGCTAGCCTAGCGCCTTAAAACCCTGCGCGAACATTCTCTAGTGTAAACGTCCTCTTAAAAGCTACTTTAAAGGCTAGTAGGAAGGTTTCTTTGTTAATATGGTAGATGCGGCTGCGTGCCAAGAGCGAGATCCTGTCGCCGTAGTGGCGCTTCAACAGCGAGTATGGGACAATGTCAAGAGGCTGCAGGAGGTGCGATGAGTGTGGTGGCATGCAGAGAGTGATAATCTTGTTCTCCTTGCAGTAGTCCTGGAATTCTATTGAGCAGTGGCTCTCATGGCCGTCAATAATAAGCAGCCTATATGCCCCAGCAGAGGTCACCTTTGTATGGGCGTTAAAGTGCTTAAGCCATGCCATCACAACGTTGTTATTAGTCTAGCTAGTAGGAGAGACTGTGACAACCTAGTTGTAAGGTAGACTAGTAAACTAGGAGGAGATTAGGACCTTGCCTACAAAGATAAGGAAGGGTAGGATAATACACCCTGTTGCAGCAACGCCTTGTACTAGGGTAACCTACTTGCAATTGCTAGGCTGTAGTTTCTTCTGTTTCCTAGGTTTCTCTAAGCCTGTAATAACAAGCTAAGAGGATATCTTGCCTATTATAAAGCTAGACTTATTAAAGTTCTAGGTGTCCTTATCTGTGATACCATACTTTGTCTTTATTAATTAAACTAGGCTGAACCAGGGCTAGATAAGCGCTGGGTCTTCGCAGGCAGCTCGCTGGCAATCGTACGGACGGCTCCATCGCGTGCGCAGCTCTGGTGTACGCTTGATGAAGTTATCAACCCAGTTCTTGCCTGTAGGCTTCCCACCACGCTCCCTTAGCAGTCTATCAGCCATATCTTGTACATGCGCCTTTAAGGGCGGTATTCCACGTAGACTCTCTTCAAGTATACGCTGTATAATCGCCTCCTCTTCTAGCTTTGTAAGGCGCTTTGATTTCGGCTCGCAGTTGCGTTGAGGGCGTTGTCCAGCGCGTCAGTCTCAGATTGTTGTTTGTGGGATGTTATAGACTGCTGCAGCGCGTCTTTCGCTCTGTATCTGCTTAGACTCAATATCAGAGATAGCAATAAATACATCTCCTTCAGTATAGGTCTTTCGCATGTTGCGTTGTTGTGGCATTACGCGTTGTTGCTGCGCAGGCGGGGCGCGGGTGTTTAGTGGGCGACTCACTTGGGTGGGCGACTCGCTTGTGAACCACGTTAATTAAAGAGTAGACTAAGTAGTACTCTAGGTATCCTTTTTACACCTACGTGAGTTATGGCCAGTCTCTCTGCACCTCTTGCAGCATGCCAGAGCCTGGCAGCTGAGGCCTGATTGCTCTCCTCCTTGACGCTCTTCACGAGCAATCTGCTGATCAGCCTCACGTTAAGCAAGTAGATCCTCTCCAGCTCCCTTTGTTAAGACGCCATGCTGCTGTATACGCTTTTTCTTACGCTGTTTACGCGCTAACGCTGCCTTATTAGCCTTCTCAAGGCTGGTAATCTGATTGCGCATTAGCTTAGCTAAGAGCATTATTACCTTAGCGCCCTTCTTAAGTTAGTTAATTGCCTTAATAATTAAGGCAGGCAAGGAGCTCTTATGCTACTGCACGCGATCACGTATTAACGTTGATTAAGCATCAAGCTCATGTATATTGCTTGGTGTACAAGCCTCCCAGAGAGCCTCTGGCAGAGCAGCTAGAGTAGGTGTACGCAGCAGCTGCACGTCAAGTTTTGATAGCACAGCATCTAGCTGGAGAGGCACAAGGCCGGCGCCTTAAAAGGCTGAGCAGATATTGGCTGAGGTGAACGATTAATTGAACGCTGCCTTAAACGCTGGCAGAAACTCAAGCTTAGTGATATAGTTAATATAGTGGTGGATTAGGCTCTTAACCTTATGGCTATACACGCGCTTTAACAGCGAGAAGCAGCCAACGTTGAGAGGCTGTAGTAGGTGGGATAAGTGAGGCGGCATACAGAGTGTATAGATATTGTTCTCCTTACAGAGCTCTTAGAAGTTAAGAGAGTAGTGGCTCTTATGGCTATTAAGGATAAGCAGGCAACGTGCTCCTACTACACAAGCCTTTGTGTAAGCATTAAAGTGCTTCAGCTACTTAACTCCTAGCTTGTTGTTTGTCTAGCTGTTGTCACTAACTGTAATTGCCTAGTTGCATAGGATATCCTCCTCGTACCAGGCAGAGAGGTGGTACTTGCTAGCAAAGATAAGGAACAGTGGGACTGACTAGCTAGCTGCGTTAATTGCAGCAATTAATGTCACCTACTCACGATTGCCTGGCTAGATAGCCTTTAGCCTGCCTCTCCTCTCTAACCCTGTCACAATGAGCTAAGTTGTGATCTTGCCTATTATAAAGCCAGCCTTATTAAGGTTGTAGACGTCATTATTGCAGATACTGTACTTAGCCTTTGTCTCCTCTATAAGCTTAAACTAGCTTCTAATTAGAGCTAGATCCTCACACAGGGCTCTATGTCTATTGTACGCTCAATTGAAACGCGTCATGAGACTGTCTGTACGCTTGACAAAGTTGCGTGGCTAGTGGACGCCAACCTGACCTGCACCGCGCGCAGCCAGCAGCTTATCAGCCATATCACGTACAGCTGCGTACGTAGGCGCAAAACCACGTCAATCCAGATTGAGTGTATAGCTGATAATCACCTCCTCTTCACGCAGAGTAAGCTTCTTTAAGTTGGGCTGGCAATTGCGTTGGGCAGGCTTGCCAGCGCGTCAGCGGCGGATTGTTTGTTCAGATACGCTATAGATAACAGCAGCACTGCGATTGCTCTGTATCTGGTAAGAATTAATAGATAAGATAGCAAGCTGAACGTCTGCTTCATTTGAAGCTAATAGAGCAGCGCTGCGTTGAGCCATTGTACGTTGAGATGAGAGAGGTGCGCAAGTTTGGTGGGGTGCGGCGCTCGCTTGTACGCGGCGCTCGCTTGTAAAACACGTTAACGTGCACATGCGCGATGTTATGGTGGTGTTCAGCTTGATCGGCAACGCGCGTCCGTGCTCATTTCCACCACGTGGCTAAACTTCGGCCACCAAAGCCGCCGCTTCCCCGCAAAAAGGTTCCCCACAGTCCACAACTCGGTACAATTCATCCTCCAACCCCGTCATTTCGGGGCTTTTGTCCCCGCATGCGTCACCAGTCATGGATCTACCCCACGTGCTACGATGAATACTACATCGGATGGTTTAGCTGAACGCTAGCAAACAGCATCCCACATAGCGACTCCCACTTTTCACTGCTACGCCTTAAGTAGATTGGAGCTTCTACAAGCTAGAGCAGACCTACAGGGTATCTCATCGGCTCGTGCAGACTGGTCCCTTAGTACAACTACCAGAAGCGTGAGCCAACCGTTGAGCGTCAGGAACAACTCCTACTTGCTACAATTTGCAAAAGACTGGCATCCTACGGTGTACGAGTCAAGCCGGCCACGCTCCGTACTGTCCTGCACTCATTCGTTTGCTAGCGTTCGGCCAAAGAACCAACTTTCTACGGTAGGTATTCAGCCTAAATGACTCGTGAATTAGCATATTCAGCCTGAATTTTCCGGCGCCATGGTCATCCATCAAGTCACCCAATGACGTTGTCATGTATCTCCAGCCCCGGCGAGGTATAAGAAGTCTTGTGAAGGTCGTGTGAGCTTGTTTTTTGTAGCCAAGAGCACGTTTTCGATACATTGCCATGCAGCTCCTTGTGGCAATATTGCCCGTCTTGCTGGGTATTGTGCTTGGTGAAGATGGCTCGCAGGGCTGGCTACGTTATGCACCCGCCGCCAAAGGTTGCAAGTCTCAACAAGTCCCCTCAGCGATTGTGGCCCTCAATTCAACAAAGATCAGTCCAGTCTACACTGCCGGGAAAGAGTTGCAGAGAGGTCTTAGGAGCATTCTGGGGAAGGCTGTCGATTTGACCACCGGAGGTCGCTCGAATTCATCAGCCATCGTCGTTGGCACTGTGGATGCATACAACACAGCCTACGGCAGTGTCTCTGGCGTGGAAGACTTGGAAGATGACGGGTACCTGCTAAGCACCCACGATGGCAGTGTTGTCATCCTGGGACGCAACCAACGAGGCGCTCTCTACGGAGCCTTCGAGTACCTCTCGCAGGTGGCGCGCAACAACGTTACATCAGGGTCCTCCTACATCTCCAACCCACAAGTCCCAATCAGATGGACCAACGAGTGGGACAATATGGACGGATCAGTCGAGAGAGGCTACGGGGGCGCTTCGAACTTCTTCCGGGGCGGATACGTAGTCGACAACACAACAAGAGCTGCTGAGTACGCACGCTTATTGGCATCTGTGGGCATCAATGGTGTCATTATCAACAACGTCAATGCCAATGCGACTCTCCTTAGCGATCGCAATGTTGAGGGCTTGGGCAGACTGGCCGATGCCATGAGACCCTATGGAGTACAACTGGGTATTTCACTAAATTTTGCGTCTCCAAATGCCACCCTCGGGACGTTTGACCCCCTGGACCCAAAGGTTGATGCGTGGTGGGCGAACATCACCAATCAGATCTACAAGAAGGTTCGTTTCAAAAGTACCATGATCAATCACATCAGCACTAACTTGATGATAGGTACCAGATATGGCGGGCTATTTGGTCAAAGCCAACAGCGAGGGTCAGCCAGGCCCACTCACGTACAACCGAACGCTCGCAGATGGCGCCAACATGTTCGCTCGAGCGGTCGAGCCGCACGGCGGCGTCGTGATGTTCAGAGCATTCGTATATGACAACCATATCAGCTATGCCAATTGGACATCCGACCGGGCCAACGCGCAACTCGAGTTCTTCCAGCCCCTGGACGGCAAGTTCGACGAGAACGTTATTGTACAAATCAAGTACGGTCCTATCGACTTTCAGGTCCGTGAACCAGCTTCGCCACTCTTCGCAGCACTTCACAACACGTCGACTGCGATTGAGCTCCAGGTCACACCTGAATATCTGGGTCAGAATTGTCATTTTGTTTACCTTGCCCCACTTTGGAAAGAGATCCTGGATTTCGACTTGCGAGCTGACAACAAATCCTCAATGGTCAAGGATATTGTATCAGGCCAGCGTTTTAAGCGTCCTCTCGGTGGTTATGCAGGTGTGCCGGGCGCTGGCACCAACACCACTTGGCTGGGCAGCCACATGGCTATGTCTGTAAGTGTCGATGCCTGAACTCCATATTGTAACTTGTCCTCTGACGACTACAGAACCTGTACGCGTACGGAAGGTTGGCTTGGGATGCTTCGCTCGGCTCAGAAGACATCCTCGAAGACTGGACTCGATTGACCTTCGGCTCGGACCAGATCGTTCTGGATACTATCAACGATATCTCGATGAAATCATGGCCCGCCTATGAGAATTATAGTGGCAATCTAGGCGTCCAGACCCTTACTGATATTCTCTATACACACTTCGGCCCGAACCCAGCGTCTCAGGACAACAATGGTTGGGGCCAGTGGCTACGAGCTGGAAACGTCACCATTGGAATGGACCGAACAATCGAGAACGGCACGGTATGATGAGTAAAGTGCGACACTTTCGCTACGGCCTGCTTACGTAAATACAGGGAAACGCTGGGAACTACCCTCCCGAGATCGCGGAGATGTACAACGACATCGACAAGACCCCTGACAACCTCTTGCTGTGGTTCCACCATGTGCCGTACACGCAGCGCCTCAAGTCTTCCAATGAGACAGTAATACAGCACTTCTACAACGCCCACTACGCAGGCGCAGCCAGCGCGCAAACATTCGTACAACAGTGGGAATCACTGAAGGGCAAGATTGACCATGAGCGCTTCGAACATCAGCTCTTCCGGCAAACGTATCAAGCTGGGCATTCGCTTGTCTGGCGCGACTCGATCACACAGTACTTCTACAATTTATCAATGATTGATGATGAGTCGGACCGTGTGGGCAACCACCCGTACAGGATCGAAGCCGAGAGCATGAAACTAGACGGGTACAAATCATACCTTGTCAACCCATTCCACGCTGCTTCGGGCTTCACAGCGATCGTCACTACATCGAACACTACAGCCGGTACCGCGACTACGGAGGTGCCGTTTGACTCTGGAATGTACGACGTGGCTGTGAACTACTACGACCTGTTCAACGGTACATCATCGTACAAGCTCGAAATTGGCAACCGGACAGTCGGCGTATGGAAGGGCGACAACGAGAAAAAACTGGGCCACGAGCCTTCGAGGTATCTGGATGGTCACACAGCGACTCGCATTACGTTCAGAGGTATTGCAGTGCAAAAAGGTGATACGGTGCGCATAACGGGCCAGCCTGATGGAATTGAGCCTGCGCCCTTGGACTACATATCTTTCCTGCCGCCCGGTATTGTCGACTGAAAGAGTCGCGATACCTGAAGATGGGTTTTAATACATAACTAAGATTATAAGCCATTAGCTGTCTCAAGATCAGCGCCTTGAGGTGTGCCGTCCCTTCGTGACCGTGATTAGAGGAAAACGAGGGCCAATCCTCATTGAAGCACCATTTCATGCGATCGAGCCGCATTGCAATAATTTTTATCTGCCCAAGGTCGAGTCTGTCACTGGTCGTGTCCAGTCCTTTGATGCGACTGGGCAAGTCTGAGTTTTGTGTTCCAACAAGCTCTTCCTCGACCCATAGCTTAACTGTAATAGTCAATGCCTCATCAGAGGCCTTGAACCAAATTTGACCGAAGCAGAAACAAGCTTCTGTACGAAACTATCGTCACCGGAAGGTAATCGCGCTGGAGCTGTCCCAGAGTGAGGTGATTGCCGTCTCCGTCGCAGATGATGAGAGGCTCTGGCGGTTTGCATTTATCCTTCTCGTCATTGGAGCCTCCATATATTCTGTTGCCGACTTCCTTTCTTCGTGCAGACATTGGTGTTCACTTGGTAAATGCGGTCAAGCGGCGGATCGGCGAAAAACTCATCGGTAAGGTGGTGGCTGAACGGTGGCAATGGCCAGTGCAGCCTGTTGCAATCCCAATTTCTTTGAGGACGATCAGTTTGTTTTAGTGCAACCGGTAGAGAAGGTCTTGGTAGGTAAACCATGAGTAATGAACCTCTACATGTGTGTGAGCAGATGATGTACAGCAGCAGGACTTCTAAGAAACACTTCGTCAAATCACATACTACAAAGCAAGCGCTCAGAGTTCCAAGCCACAGCAGGATCGCAGAATTGAATACTTTCATCTTCATTTATATCGTCACCCCATATCCTGTTCTAAACCGCCCGTGATCAGCCATCAAATAAATCATCATTTTCGCTTGCTGGCACAGAACTCAACGGCCATGCCTTTCTTAGCGGCGCATGCAGAGTTAGGGTTGCTCTTCTTGCAAAGATTCTCCTATTACACAAATCAGCCTACAATCACCACACAGTCATAATAAATACGTACCTCGTAAAGGTAAGCTTGATCATCACACCAGGCACCAGCTCCACACTGGAAGCTCAGCGCATCTTCAGCAGGTCCCATCTGCAGTCCAGCCTCATGTCCTGCACAGTCAGTTGTATCGCTGTTACGGAGTCCGTCTTCAGTACGGCCTAGACAGTCAATAAGGCTGATGTCGTACCATACCGTTCCAGCGGAGACGGCATATTCGATCTGGACGGGCTTAGAGTAGTCGCCTTCAGTCTTTGAGACTTTGAGGTTAACCCCAGATCCCTCAGGTGCTGCCTCAAATGGGCGATCGAGCTTGCCACCGGCGGGGATGTGGCCGATGTCTTCGATGGTGTTGCCAATGTGGGGCTCGAAGTAGAGATCGTAGTCGCAGAAGTTGTAGATAGTCAGCGTGTTGGCAATGGAGGTGGGCCGCGGAAATAAAGACAGCTGAGGGATGTCGACATTGTCGACGGTCGGCTGAGGTGTGCCTGGCAATGGCCAGGGGATCTTCCACGGGCAGGTTGCTGGGATTATCCAGGACTCTACACGAGCGAGAACTGAGTCGACGGCTTCAGAGACCTTGTCCGCAAGTTCATCCGTTTTGTTCTTGACTGTGTCGATAAGGTCATCGACACCTCGTGTGAGTTCGATGTTACGACGATGGAAGTTGGCATGTCCGTGGTGTGTCGCCAAGGCCACGACTGCCGAAAAGAGTACTAAGATGAGAGGCTTCATGTTGAGTATTTTTTGGAAAAGAACTTGTAAGCAGTGTATCCCGAGGGCTCAGGGCGATCTGATACAAAAGAGGGGAAGTATCGCACTGTGTACTGATAGCACAGCAATGATGTGAAATTTCAAGTTCACAGTGTAAATGAATGATAGGGCGAGTGAGCGACCAGCTGAACAACATCGACAATCCAAATCGCCACATCCGACTGTCTTATGCAAAATTGCCAACCACCCATTTCACGAAATCTGCTGATGGTTGGCGCCATGCCAGCTTGATCTGAAACGGGGCTTACCCGAAGTCCGAACTGCAGGTACGCAGCATCGACGCGCCTGGCTCGTCAGATAACACAACGGCCAATCGATAAGCTTCGGCAGCTAAAACCGCGTGCGATTGCCGGGACTCTGAGCTGGCTGCCGCCTCGTGGCCTGAGCTATGGTTGGAATAAGGTTAGCGATCCTGATTGGCTGGAAAAGGAGATGAACGCTAAGCGAGTGAGATGACAGAGTGTCTAAGAGTCTTGAACCTGCAGAACCCATGACGTTGAGAATCACGCAATTTCCACTATCTTGATTTGAAGAGAAGGTATGCCACTGAACAGCTGCCACGCAAATGTTGTGGGGAGCTACAGGAGTACAGCTGAATATTCTGCGATACACAATGTATGGACTGAGTGTATGATACACTCAGTCAGGCCACTCACAGCGAAGCGAGTATCCAGCTTATCCGCACCAAGAAAATCTTGTCCAAAGTTGCGAGATCGGAAAGAGAAAGGGGTCGACGACCAGATGAGCGTCGCAAGATGTGAGCGTCGCAAGGCCTCCAGCCAGCCGTAGTACCATGCTCACAACGATTCGAAACACACCTCTTGCGGAGTTTAGCGCTTCATATATCTCCACTGTGCCGCTCTTCAGCCTTACGGTAGATCGTCTGAAGGCTGCACGCGGAACGCGGGCCATCGTGCTCCGCACCTGTCTGCTCGTGACCGTCGACCGTATCTACCATGTCTGCGTATAGCTTTTCAGATCGACAGCGGCTTTGGTCTGACTCTTGATCATGTAGTTGGCACCAAATACTACGCAACATAGTTCTCTCGGCTTCTTCGTATGTCCATCAGCCCTCCATTCGATACATTGCGTCATTTGCCAAAAATATCTGCGCCACGAGGGATACCACAGGTGTGATGTCCGATCGCAGGTCGGCAACAACTGACGCAAGCCCAGACTCTGCAAGCAACTTTGGCCTCATGGGTCAGCTATCAATATGCTGTAGGATTTCTAGAATGGAGTCGAAGTAAGTTGCTGGGGCCCACGATATCACCTCTCCAAAAGTTGGCCTGAGACAGGGTGAATGGCTTAAGGGCGGTCATGATAGTCCCGAGCGAATGGCTGACTGCACCAGCAGGATTTCCCTGGGCTTTCGAGACCTCCTCTTGGGATCTTGACTGTTGTTCTCCGACAGCTCAAGCTTTAGTGGCGACGAGCCCTGTGTAAACACTTCTCCGTCCGAGTCTGAATGATCGTCGATATCGAAATATTTGGCAAGAGACTTGGCTCTCACTTCACAGTCGGCTGAGTCTGATGATTGGGAGTCGCTATCGTACGGCTGCTGATCGTCGTTGCTTGAAGGATATTCGCCTGGCATCGGCTTGGACTTATGGCCACCCATTTATCGGCGTTTCCGTCTGCTGTCGTGTGATTCGTGAGCACTTTACATGGTCATATGATGCTGAGGGAGGTCAGTGTCTAAGAGCATTGCAAACTAGACACAAGGTCATCAACAAGCTTGGTTGTGTGTCAAGGTGCCCACGCGTCCAAGGCAGGTCGTAGTGAGATTGGCGCGCGGTTGATAGGCGGGAGCGTAGCTGAGGATTGGGAGCGCAGTGTTGCTTGTTTGGTGGTTGGCGATACATGCGATTTAGGTGTCCGAGTCTCGTCCCGCTTAGCGCGAGGAGGAGAGAGTGAAGTGGTCGAATGCACGCAACGTGGCCTGCGCCCTGAAGGCCAGCGCTAGGATTGCGAGTCAAATTCGTAGGGAAAGGGTGTCGACATCGTTACAGATACGCTGGCAAACTTGGACTAATTTCACTGGACGCGACGTGAGTTTGGCACACTTGTGCTTTAGCACACGTCGATACACCTTTGCAAAGTCCACTGCATACTCACCATCCACAAAGATAGTGCTGCAGATCAGTCTCTAATGCACGATGTTCCTAGGGCAGTCGCTAACTTTCACTTGGGCAGCAACCTCCATCAGACAGGAGCACACCACACCCCTTTAACAAAACCATATCAACCCGACCCACTTCGCACACCGAGCAGTCTGATGCTAAAGTATAAATACTCTATGGAAGTTCTATCGAGAGCTTCCATTAGTTTTGTCTAATCTTTACTTCCACATGGCCTTTAGCGGCAAGCTTCTTACATTCCACAGTTGCAATAATCTCGGTGCTGTCCCTCATGGCCCTCTCAAAGCCAGTACCCGGAACTCTCCTTGCTATCATTCTCTTCATTACGAACCGGCATTCTCAGAGGCGGGTAAGGGTAGCACTCAGGAGACCTTCTCTCCACTTTAGGCTCTTCGCCATCTAAAGACTTCCAGTCCAATCTGGTGCTCGGATACCGGGTGGGCGCCTCTTGCTGATAGTCGATTACGGCCCCCGAGGTGTTCAGTACCCAATAATCGCGGGAAGGCAATTCAACCCTCATGTCGCGTAACTTCGTGGACCTCCAGAAGGCGTCCACCAAGGGCAGCGCTGGGCCATCAAGTAGATCGTGACCGTGATGTTGCCAGAAAATGAAGGATACCATAGTCTGCGGAGGTGGTGACAGTGCGTAGCGATATTGTCAAGGATTGGCGCCAGGTGATCCAATTTGAAGGGCGGTCTTACGTTCTCTTGCTCTTTCTCGACACGATGCGCCTCAATTATGACCTCGAGGGAAGTAATTGATGCGAGCCGATTGTGCCGGATGAGCTTAGGCAGGTGAAGGAGTAGTGACTCGGTCCTAATGTTGATGCAGTTGGCAGAGTACAGGAAATCAATACCTTCGGTATATGTCTGCTTGCACGACAGTAGGAAACCGATGGCATCAATGTTGTGCGCGTTCGAGATCCCCTGTGTGCGCCTGCACCTCTCCACTTCATCTATACACGAGTCGTTCCATGAGCCCAGCCAATTGTTGACCTCATCACCACTTCTCGAAGAGACAACGATCCTTGCAACATGGAGTAGACCAAGCGCTGGGTTGAGGGCGGACACTCCCTCGTCCATCAACGAGCTTGATCAACGAGAACAGTACCATCTTGCCCTCTTGAAGTTCCAACTCACTTGATATATGCGATGGCAGAATCCACTCAACATCGTCATCTTCATCTATTCGCTCTAGGATCTATGCTGAGACGGGGATCCTGATCCAAGGACACCCATCGCATATCGAATCGCGGGCAGTAGCCAACACATCCGCTAGCGATGCGGTGTTATTCCGCAGCCAAGATACACCGAGGACCTTTTTCTTTTCCCATTGAATAGTGCCTAATGAGTTCGTCGACGACTTTCTCAGGCGCTAACTGGGTGCTTTCTCTATGCTCTTCGTTGGCTTCAACGGAGCAGAAGAGCGAAATCGCGGTGGATCTGTGAGATTGGAAATTTGTTGTCTGGTATAGGGTCATGGTGGGACATTTATTGATCATGCATGAGAGTATCGTGCAGATCAATGGTGTGTTCAATGTGCCGTTTATGTTTAGTCCAATACAGATCCTTACCGCCGCTTTGGGCTTGTATTAGGCTGCCTGGTGTTGTCACGCAACAGCAGCCTCACGAGTCAAACCTCTTGGCGACTTCAACATAGGAGTTTTGTAACGGTTGAGAGGAGAAGCGGATCACGTGTTGTTGGTGGTGGTCTGGTGTTACTTCCTCATGTTGTTGAGCACCTCTTACCTTGGCTGCGTTACAAAGACGTCATCAAAA